TTCCCTTCGAAAGACGTATACTTTTAGAAGATTCGCCTGTGGAGCTTTCAGAGCATCCAAGACGGTTTCCAGAGAGGAGAGGCGATGAACGGCCGTCCTGACGCGATCTTGGGCCGTCTTCGAGCTCAAGGTGCCCCCATCATGGCCCAACAGGTCCCACAAACGCTCGAAGAGAGCACCCCTGGAGTTCCCAAGACACCCTCGAGAAGCAAACTGCCCCGGAGGCATCCAAAGCTCCCCCAAGAGGCCCCAAGAGGCGCGCAAGAGGCCCCCCAGATCCCCACGAGGCCCCAAAGAGGCCCAACAAGCCCTCCAGAAGCCCCCCAGAGGTTATCCCAAGAGACCCTTATATACGACGTCGCCGAGCCCCGCAGAAACCCCAAAGAGGACATCCCAAAAGATTGTCACACACACACACATTTTGTTATACACATGTATACATACATATATATATATATACACCTGTATATATATATATATAGATCTATATATATGTATATATATATACATACATACATCCGTAAGGGCTTCGCCCCCTGCCGCCCGCCCCCTCTCTCGGAGAATGGGCCATGGAAGAGCTAAGTCATGAGGCCTTGGCGCTGTCGTGAAGCAGTATCGAAACTTCATGCGAAGCCGATTCGCAATCAGCAAAACCAACTGATCACAAGAGGGGTTACCACACCTGGCGATTGGTAAGACGTGTATGGTTTACGGGCTTGGTTACCACACCTTGCGATTAAAGGGCCGAGGGAGTTCTCGCAGTTTGGGTTACCACGCCTTGCGATGGATGTGCGTGAAGGGTGGCACCGAATTTCAGAAATAGCAAATCCCATGTGTTTTTGGACCCTGGCAGGGGTGGCGCCGAATTTCAGAAATGTGGCAAATCCCCTGTGTTTTTGGACCCTGACCCCGCGGATCTGCGTGAGGGGTGGCACCGAATTTCAGAAATGTGGCAAATCCCTTTTGTTTTTGGACCCTGACCCCGCGGATCTGCGTGAGGGGTGGCACCGAATTTCAGAAATGTGGCAAATCCCCTGTGTTTTTGGACCCTGACCCCGCGGATCTGCGTGAGGGGTGGCACCGAATTTCAGAAATGTGGCAAATCCCCTGTGTTTTTGGACCCTGACCCCGCGGATCTGCGTGAGGGGTGGCACCGAATTTCAGAAATGTGGCAAATCCCTGTGTTTTTGGACCCTGACCCCGCGGATCTGCGTGAGGGGTGGCGCCGAATTTCAGAAATGTGGCAAATCCCTTGTGTTTTTGGACCATGACCCCGCGGATCTGCGTGAGGGGTGTCGATTTCGAGCCCCCCCAGCAATTGAGACAACGCGCCCAGGAGACGCTAAAAATTTGGTTTGGGCCTCCCCCCCCCCTCGCGCGGTCAATCAACTAATTACAATAACCAGCAATAAGCAGAACTGTAACATTGGAAACTACAAGCTACAACTGGTACGGGAAACTGCGAATCCCGCTCCTGGCAGCCTGGTGGCCCCACAAGGGGGCCGGCGGATTCAACCGTACATGTATACATACATACATACATACATACATACATACATACATACATACATACATACATACATACATACATACATACGCGCATACATACGTACATGCATACATACATACACGCACATCTATTTATATCTATATATGGACGTGCTCGCACACGAATCTAAATCTTAGAGGCCAGGGAACCTGCCCGCTCAGGTGTTGTGTATCTGCCCTTCCAACAGCTGTCCGCAGCAATCGCTGGGCTCCAGTGGGCTCGGGTTCTAGCTTGCCACCCGGACGGTGGATGGTAGACGTGCTGCTCGGCGCTGGTCTGCGTGTGGCGGAACGTCTGCTGGTGGGGCCTGCGGTGCTGCTCTACAGCAGTCGCTGCCCCGAGGCGCCTGCGTGCCCAGTGTGCCCTCAGTGTCCTCAGTTCCCTGCTTGTCCTGGCGCTCCACCTCTTCCTGATCATCACCGGGAAGTGCTGTAGGTGGGCGTCACCTCGTGGCCACAGCTCTACGCCGTCGCCTTCGCGAGTGCGGCCGTGACTTGGGCTGTCGCGCGGTGGACGGCCGGCGGCGGGCACAGGGCCGCCCGACAAGAGATGAGGTGGGTGTTCGTGTGGTTCGCGACGACGGAAGCTCTGTGGCACCAGCGCTACGTCGTTGGGGCGGTGGGGTTGTCGGATACTGATTTCTTCTTCACGATCCCCGATGAGGACACGTACGAGGAGTCGTATGTGGAGACGAACCCAGACATCGTCGGCGTGAGGTGGTCGACGTCGCGCTGGCCCCTGCCCCCAGGAGTGCCTCGCGGGATGGTGTACCGCTTCAGGGGTGCTCCGACGGCTGTGCAGCTCGCGGCCTGGGAGAGGGCCGCCGAGCGGCGGGCGCGGGCGCTCGGGGTGGCTGTCGGTGATCCGCCCCTGGACCGAGTGGCGGCGGCCCCGGATGCTGCCGCCGGCGCGCCTGCGCCGGACGCCGCTGCTGCTGCGCCCGCCCCTGCCGCTGCCGCACCAGCCTTCGACATGGTCGGGAAGGTTGGGTGTCCGTGGAGAGCCGCCACGGGGTCTCGCGGGGCTTACTGCGACGCTCGCGCCAGGGGCCCGCATCGTCACAGACAGGGCGTTCCAGGAACACGGGGGAGAGCCGGTGGTGCTGGCGCTGATCTCTGCGGGCACGGAGGTGGAGTTCGCGGGCGCCGAGGCGGCTGCGGATGCTGGCCTCCTGCCGCTGAAAAGGTCGGCGGCGGGGCGCATCAAGTGGCTATTCCAGGATGCCGTGGAGCGCGCGAAGGAGATCGCGCTCGGGGACTTCCCAGTTCCTGGGCCGAGGACGGCATCCTGGTGGATCACCGCAAGTGGTGGGTGTCAGCGTTCTGGCTCCAGAGCGACTGCATGGTGGGGAGTGGCCGAGCATGGGCTGATCCTCCAGGCGCTCGAGCTGGGGCTATGCTACGACAGCCTCGATGTCCTCAACCTTG